AAAAAAAAAAAAAAAAAAAAACCAGTATGTAAAAGAGAAGACATTTTAAAAAATAACCACAATAGTGTTATCAAAGCCAGAAAGTTTAACAGTAATCCTTTTTGTCATCAATTATCTAGGCAATATTTATATTAAACTTTTTTTTTTTTTAGTTTGAGTTACAGTTCAATATATTCCTATTGGTTGATGTGTTTTTAAATTTAATATATAGATTTCTGCTCTCTCTGGTAGTTTTTCCTGTAGTTATCCACAGTGTAAATTTTACTGCATCCCCATGGAATTGTGTAAGATATTCCTCTGTCCCCTTTATTTTCTCTAAATTGGTAAAGCTGCAGATCTGATGAGGTGAGCTTCATTATTTTTGACAAGACTACTTTATAGACCATGATGTATATTTCTCTCAGGAGATACGTTACACCTGTTAATCCAGTTGGCTTTTTAAGCCTAAAGGCAGAACTTTTCTTAATAAATTTGTATTATATTTGGATTTTTATTAGTTGTTGTTTTTTTAATCCTTTTTTTTTTTTTGAGGCAGAGTCTCACTCTGTTGCCCAGGCTAGAGTGCAGTGGCATGATCTCAGCTCACTGCAACCTCTGCCTTCCAGATTCAAGCAATTTTTCTGCCTCAGCCTCCCGAGTAGCTGGGATTACAGGTGCCCACCACCATGCCCAGCTAATTTTTGTATTTTTAGTAGAGACCAGGTTTTTCCATGTTGGCCAGGCTGGTTTCGAACTCCTCAAGTGATCCACCCACCTCGCCCTCCCAAAGTGCTGGGACTACAGGCATGAGCCACCACACCTGGCCTAGAATTTTTCATTTAGGAATTAGCAGTTAAATATGACTCTTAATAAGCTATTTCACACAATTTTGGGTCACCCATAAAGTTACACATGGGCGAGGTGCAATGGCTCATCCCTGTGTTTCCAGTGCTTTGGGAGGCCAAGATGATTTGAGCTCAAGAGACCAGACTGGGCAGTGTGACAAAACCCTGTCTCTACAAAAAATACAAAAATTAGCCAGGCATAGTAGCGTGTACCTGTAGTTCCAGCTACTTTGGAGGCTGAAGTAGGAAAATGGCTTGATCCCAGGAGGCGGAGGTTGCAGTGAGCCAAGATCATGCCACTGCTCTCCAGCTTGGGAAACAGAGTCAGACCCGGTTAAAAAAAAAAAAACAGCTACAAATATATATTTTACGTCTTCAAGTCATTTATAAAATACCAAAGGCAGAGAACTCTGTGGCATACAATTAGAAATCTTCTTCTCTATGGCATCTATCCATTTCTCTTTGATTATGTGTCATAGATTCATCTAACTGTACTCTTTTTTTTTTTTTTTTTTTTGAGACGGAGTTTCACTCTTGTTACCCAGGCTGGAGTGCAATGGCGCGATCTCGGCTCACTGCAACCTCCGCCTCCTGAGTTCAGGCAATTCTCCTGCCTCAGCCTCCTGAGTAGCTGGGATTACAGGCACGTGCCACCATGCCCAGCTAATTTTTTGTATTTTTAGTAGAGACAGGGTTTCACCATGTTGACCAGGATGGTCTTGATCTCTTGACCTCATGATCCACCCGCCTCGGCCTTCCAAAGTGCTGGGATTACAGGCTTGAGCCACCGCGCCCGGCCTAACTGTACTCTTAATCAACACTTTTCCCCCAGCTTGTCCACAAGTTATCTTCATAAGATGTTAAATTTTTGCTGATAATAAGACATGTTCTCATCATTCGTTTTATTTGCTAAAGAAAGGTGGTTAATTTCCTGTTGAGCCTCTACTGGCTGCTACTGGTTATCACTTCTTATCCAAGAGCTGCATTCAGTGATACACTGGTAAACATTTATCAGAAGGCTCTGTGGAAGCAAAGGCCCTTATTTGTACTATTTGCTGATTTCCAGGATGTAAATACTCCCACTGTTGTTGATTTCAAGCTACCTAGGTTATGCTCCTGAATGTGGAGCGGGAAGAGATAATGTAGCATTGTCTCTACTTAGTAATACTAATTATTTTTACTACTACTGCAGTAACAAAAGTGCTTACATGTACCAGTCTCAGTTAAGTTCTAAACATTTTACTTGTATTAACACATATTTCTCATTAACTGTGTGAGGTTGCTATCCTCATTTTATTGATGAGGTACAGAGGGATTAAGAAACTTAATGAAATCAGACTTTGTGGCTCCATAGTCTTTGTTCGCCAAAGTCTGTAAAGAAGAATCAGGTTGGTGGCAAGTTGTCAGGTAAGGGAATGACAGAGGTCTTTTAGAACAGGCCAGGACAAAAGTCTGTATTTAAGGAAAATCCTTCAAAGAAAACTAGCATAAAGAGGCTTCCTAAGGAATCAATGTGGTCAGCAGAAGCCAATTCCTTGGACCAGTGTAAGTCCAGAGCCATACCCAGGATCATAGCTGGCCTCCACTGCTTACTGCTCAATAGCCACAGCCACATTTTACTTAAATTAATTACAATTAAAATTTGTCCCTCACCTGCAGTAACTGGCCACATGTCTAGTGGCTGCAATGTTAGACGATATAGATATTGGATGGCACTACTCTATAGTGAAGCCTACCCATAGTCAGGCATGCCTCCTGCCAGATTGGTATTTCTTCATGTTTTACCTCTGACCTTTACCTTGGTGGTCTTAACTCGGTAAGTAACTGCCTTATTTCTATTTGTGAACAATTTTATCCACATCTAAACTTTAGCATTCGTAATAGCATATTTAGCTCCTGCTCCATTTTTTGGGAAAATAAAGGATGTTTAAGATACAAAATTATTAACAGATGCTATAACCTAGAAGATTTATACCTTTAAAAAATGTATTAAATGCAGTATTCTTATTTCTTTTTATTTAATAATTAAGGAGGAGAAAGTGCAGGCCATGCCACTTCCTCTGAGGAGCCTAGTGGATGCTCAGATCAGAGACCTGCAGAGGACCTCAACATCCGAGTGGAAAGGTTTGCTCTTCTTTTTGCAAATAGTATTTTGTTTAAAAAGACAATGTTTTTTTAGTTATTTCATTAATTTGAATAAAAGCTAAAGTTACACAAATGAACTCTTAGATTTCTGAGTTGAAATTTTTGATCACCCTAATTTGTATCCATAAACATTACACTCTAAGGATAAAGCTTTTCTGTATCTCTGAAGTATCAGTCTGGTCTGATCATTCTGAGAATCCCCTTTTTACTGGTATTTTGGTACATGGGTGTTTCCATCTGTCACTTCTGCTTTTATCTCTTTATGCCATAAGGATAATAAGCTCCAGGTGGGTAAGAACTTCAGCTCATTTTATAACTATGGACTGAGCTTGAGTTCTGCATAAGTGGGTGTCTACTAAATGTCATTTTTTATTAATTAGTCTAATAATCAGATACAAATTTCTGGCTCTTTGTAGTTTCTAGTATTTTTATTGAGGCAGTAATTGTCAAATCACAGTCTTTCATGCCCTGATTCCTAAAAGTTATATGAGTTAATGGTTAGTGGTTAAGCAGGAATACTTTAAACCCTGATTTAAAACCCTTTAGTGTTAGTTATATGGAAGTTTAAAAAAATTCTTTATTAGCATTTTAAAATTTAAAACCTTTCTTAGACTTGATATTTTCTTGTTCATGTAGATGCTTTGGGGAAACAGGGTTCAAGATGATTGCTTATAATGTCTTTGAGTTTGCTTATTGACTCAGTAAAGATCAGCTTCTTTTCAGCAAAACTAGATTCTGATTGTTCTTTGTAGGGGTTGGGGCAGTGCCAGGACCTTGAGGTGAAAAACAGGCTGGATCTCACAGTGGTGAGGAAAGTGATGTGGTATAAGACTGGAATAGCAGCAGGAAACTTAAGTTCCCAAGGATTCATCCTGTTTTGTTTCTCTCTAATTTGCTAACACCAGGCCCACTATTCTGTACCTTTATTTGTACCACCCTGGGCTAAAGTGAAAATAGAAAATCTGGAAAAGGGTTTGGAGACTTGGGGCAAAAACCTGAATTACATCAGGTAGCCCTTATTTTGAGGTGGGGCCAGGCACTATTCAGTTACACTGGAAAAGTTTTCAATAGCCTCTTAGATAAGGGAATATCAGCTAGTCTCTGCTTGTGTCATAGTACTAATTAATTCACAAGCTGAGATCCTGCATTTTAGTTATCCAAGTTCATGCCAAGTTAGGAATCTTGTTCCTTTTGTGGAATCTAATTCATTGACAATGACAATAACTAAGAACACGAGCCTGTGTAATATTCCTATTCCAAATGTCTACTTAGCTCACTATTTATACCCTAAGAATTGCCATCATTCTCACCATCCCCTGCTATAGACTGTAAGGCTCTTGTGCTCTCAACTAACTCATCCCCTGCCATCTTCTGTAGGGTATTGAACTCTGAAACTACTAGTTTCTCTGTCTCACTGAACTGAAGTGCTTTTCGTCACTTGATAAGTCGGACCCATCAGTCCCTGTGGTGTAATCTGATACTTTAGAATGATAAGAAGTTCTGTAAAGCAAAATTCATGCATTTTTCTATGACCCTAATGATATTTTAAAATCTATTTCTAACAAATTAAAAACTCAGAATTTGGCAGGGACCGGGAACAGTGGCTCATACCTATAATCCCAGCACTTTGGGGGCTGAGGCAGGTGGTTTGCTTGAGCCCAGGAATTAGACACCAGCCTCGGCAACATGGCAAAACCCCATCTCTACAAAAAAATACAAAAAATAGCTGGGCGAAGTGGTATGCACCTGTAGTCCCAGCTACTGAGGAGGCTGAGGTTGGAGGATCACCTGAGCCCAGAAGGTCAAGGCTGCAGTGAGCCATGATCATGCCACTATACTCTAGCCTGGGCGACAGACAAGATGCTGTCTCAATAAATGAGTGAATGAATGAATGAAGCAAGACTCTGTCTCAAATGAATGAATAAATAAATAAGGCCAGGCACAGTGGCTCGTGCCTGCAATCCCAGCACTTTGGGAGGCCAAAGTGGGTGGACCACTTGAGGCCAGGAGTTTGAAACCAGCCTGGCCAACACGGTGAAACCCTGTCTCTACTAAAAAAAATACAAAAATTAGCTGGGCATAATGGCACGCATCTGTAGTCCCAGCTGCTTGGGGCAGTTGAGAGAGGAGAATTGCTTGAACCCAGGAGGCAGAGGTTGTAGTGAGCCAAGATCACTCCATTGCACTCCAGCCTGGGCAACAGAGTGAGACTCCATCCATTTGTTTATTTAATAAATAAATAAATAAATAGAATTTGGCAGGATGCATTAGCAAATGTAAGATTTTTACTTTCCTCTCAGCTGCAACTGAGACTGAGATCTATTTCCAAAGACCATATTTTTGGAAAACTACTCTAGTTGACTTTAAGTCTTAGGCTTTTTTTCTCATCTAGCTTCAAAGAAAACTAATTTTGTTAAGGGAAAAGGTGACTAAACCATATTGACATTAGTGAGAAATTCATCCTATCTTGTACATGAGAACATAGTCCTTCAGTCTTCAACTGCATTTTGTCAAGTAAACATAATTTAAAAACAAACAAATAAACAAAAAAAACAACAGTCACGCCTGTAATCCCAGTTGGGAGGCTGAGGCAGGCGGATCACGAGATCAGGAGTTCAAGACTAGCCTGGCCAACACGGTGAAACCCCGTCTCTACTAAAAATACAAAAATTAGTTGGGCATGGTGGTGGGTGCCTGTAATCCCAGCTACTCGGGAGGCTGAGGCAGGAGAATTGCTTGAACCCAGGAGGCAGAGGTTGTGGTAAGCCAAGATCGCGCAATTACACTAAAGCCTGGGCAACGAGCAAAACTCTGTTTCAGAAAAAAAAAAAAAAAAAAAAAAAAGAACAGATTGGTGATTTGAAATTGTGAGATCTAAGTTTTTAATATTAATGGATATATACAATGGTATTTTATTTATTTATTGAGACAAAGTCTTACTATGTCATGCAGAAACTACTAGTTTCTAATTCATTGTTAATGAATTAGATTCCACAAAAGGAACAAGATTCCTAATTTGGCATGAGCTCAGATGAATTAAATGTAGGCTGGAGTACAGTGGTGTGATCTCAGCTCACTGCAACCTCTGCCTCCTGGGTTCCAGTGATTCTCTTGCCTCAGCCTCCCAAGTAGCTGGGATTACAGGTGCCCACCACCACCCCCAGCTAATTTTTTTGTATTTTTAGTAGAGACAGGGTTTCACCATGTTGGCCAGGCTGGTCTTGAACTCCTGATCTCAGGTGACCTGCCTGCCTTAGCCTCCCAAAGTGCTGGGATTATAGACATGAACTACCACACCTGGGCTATGACGGTTTTTTGTTTGTTTGTTTTTGAGTTAGAGTCTGGCTCTGTTGCCAGGCTGGAGTACAGCAGTGTGATCTCAGCCCACTGCAACCTCCTCCTCCCAAGTTCAAGTGATTGTTGTACTTTAGCTTTCTGAATATCTGGGATTATAGTTGTGTGCCATCATGACAGGCTAATTTTTGTATTTTTAGTAGAAACAGGGTTTCACCATGTTGGCCAGTCTGGTCTCCGATACCTGGCCTCAAGTGATCCACTCATCTTGGCCTCTCAAAGGGCTGAAATGACAGCCCTGAGCCACCACGTCTGGCGAGGATGTACAGTGTTTTATTAAAGCTAACATGTGAAATAGGAATCTTATAGTGAATCTTTAGTTAAAATGCATTATTTTGTTGATTATGTTTTTTTTTTTTTTTTCCTGAGATGAAGTTTTCCTCTTGTCGACAAGGCTGGAGTGCAATGGCATGATCTGGTTTCATTGCAACCTCCACCTCATGGGTTCAAGTGATTCTCCTGCCTCAGCCTCCCAAGTAGCTGAGATTACAGGTGCCCACCATTACGCCTGGCTAATTTTTGTATTTTTAGTAGAGACAGGGTTTCACCATGTTGGCCAGGCTGGTATTGAACTCCTGATCTCAGATGATCCGCCTGCCGCAGCCTCCCAAAGTGCTGGAATTACAGGCATGAGCCTCTGTGCACAGCCATGTCATTACGTTGAAAATGGGCAGAATCATCTGGCAAAGATAATATATAGTACCATGAATTCCAATCTTTTTATTTGGAAAAGTTTCAAACCTCAATGTTGAAAAAATAATGTAATGACCATCGTTTTCTTTTTTTTTTTTTCCTTCTGATTCATTTGAAAGTTGCAGACATAATTTTACTTCATCCCTAGATACCTCAGCATGCATCTCTTAGGAAGACACTGGCTGAGGAGTTGTGGCCTTTGAGTAGGAACTGTGCTCACAGACCATATCCTGCCCTCTTCTAGCATCCTGGCAGGCATGATGACCATTAAGAAGTAGATGCCAGCCAGGAACAGTGGCTCATGCCTTTATTCCCAGCACTTTGGGAGGCTGAAGCAGGTGGATCACCTGAGGTAGGAGTTCGAGATCAGCCTGGCCAACATGGTGAAATCCTGTCTCTAGT